ATTTCGAGTAATCTTATTACAGCACGAAACACTGCAAAAACGCATGATCGCACGGGACCCCTCCAGCACGCGTCGCCAATGATTTATTCTGCATCCAGTGTTCACTCGGACCTGCATGCCAACTTTGGGCGTTTTTTCGTTCTTGATATCAGAAAGCAGTGCAGAACGTTAAACGGTTGTCAATAATACAAGACACTTATTCCGCTCATCGGATATGTGCTTTGCTGAGAAATAATAATTCTAGTGCACCTTTGCATGTTAGGGTGGAGGCGAGAGTGAACAGAGCGGGAAATTGGAAACTAATTTGCCTTATCCCGAATTATTCAGCATAATAAACTCTGAAATTTTCCAATTTCAGCTTTTTTTCTCAAGCCGTAGCAGTATTGCGAATTTTTGACGCGCGCAGCATTTGAAAAACATCGAAATTTCAGTTACATAGCCAAAAAAACCCATTTTGACAAACACAGATAATATAAGGTCGCAAGTTCAAAAGGATACAGTAAGGTATGAACTACGATTTTTTGTTGTTCACAACGAATTAAGCTGCAGGTTAAATTTCGAAAATTTCAGTTTTATAGCTAACCCCATTATAAGATTAGAATGTAGCAGCGCGCACCAAGGTTTTCGGCGTGAACATGCGTTTTGCATGATTTCAAGTTATCTACCAAAATGATGCTTCCAGCTAGTAGAATTTGCAGCAAGGTCGGTTCTGAAATTATGAACAGAGCTTGAACTTGTGCGGATAGAAGTCATGAATAAGATCATGATCGGCTCAAGAACTTAGTTTCGGTTATTAAAGTTGCATTGTTTGGTGAAACGAATGCTTAAAACTGCCGGCAAACAGTTTTGTTCGTTCCTGAGTCGCGTATAACGAAATGAGCTCAAACTCGGATCATACGCCACAAAAGATGCAGAACAAAGTTATTTCAAGGCATTCGAACCATGTCCGGGAAATTCGTTGCCCAAATTTTACTTTTGAACTATCGTTTTTCCAAAACTGAATTATTCCGTTCAGGAGCAACTCATACATGTAAACAAAAACTAAAACTGATCTGGTCGGCGACCCTGCTCGTTTTCTACACAACGCGCAAAAGCCCACAAAAGTTTTGAAAAAAAATTAAAAAAATATTAAAAAAATATTTCTTTGTGATCTTTGCAGTTTCGGCTCGGACCTCTTCATCCGAATCCATTGCATTTTTATGTGGTTTCTTTAAATATCTTTGCCAGCAGTGGCCATTATAGAGGGATTTATTATTGTATGAGCTAAAAGGTAGCGCAAATGCACCCAAATTGACGTCTTTCTGGAAAAAAGGAAGCACGGAAATAAACTCCTAGATTATCAGCAGGTTAAATTCCAAACAACTCCTCTCAAGCTGCAGTAAAAGTAGGTGAGTTCCTTTTTTGGTGCTAGAGGGTGTCACGATAAACAGAGAAAGTGTGTAATTTTCTTCTTGATCGGGAGCAAATAGTACCACTTCTACTTTTTAAATCCAAAATATTATGAACAAAAAAGTATCTGTAATGAGCTTTCAAAAAAAAGCGGACTGCCACAAAATCCTGCTAAAATCATCACAATTGTATCGTAATTCTGGCTATTCAATTTGTTCAGGTGTTCAAACAGTAATTTGAAATTAACCAGTCTAATTTTGTCTGGTTATAAAACAGTAAGTTCGAATGACTACCAAAAATAATTGTTCAGAGTAGAATCGTTGCGTATAAGAGCATCTAAGCTGGAGAGCATGCGCCTCAAGTGATCCTCATCAACGAACATCACAACACCGCGTGCTTTTTTCGTATGTTTCATCTTCAGTATCAGTTCTCTGGAAAACATTTTCGTACAGTAAGAAAGCGTTGTTTTTTCGATTCAACAAATTTTGATAACCAGTTATTCCAAAATCCCAGTAAAATCTCTAACGTGGGATATGTAATCTTATAGTTCAAGCGGTATTCTTGGTAATTATTCTTGCAACACTTCACTTATCTTAGAACTACAACTTTTTTTGCTTTCTAGAGGCCTAAAAAGTAGAACAATCGATAAAATCTTGTCGGCAGAAGTCGCAAAAAAGGTAATTTTTACCACATTCTGCAACATATAACGCAGTCCGAGAGATTTTATCAGTGTCGCCATTTATCAAAGTAAATTAAGAAGACAAAATGTTGCGAGCTCAAAGAATCTGAATGACCCAGAAGACAAAGTCTTGAGATCTCAAGGTCTAGTACCAGTTCTTCATTATGCAGATATACAGCTGTGGCCAAGCTATAATCAGTGCTCCCAACAAATGTTTCCCTTAGCATAATTTTCTTTTCCGTGTCCAGTTTTAAAGACTAACAAGAAAATGATTATGGTTCAAATCCCCATAAATGCATTTTGTAAATATCAATAATTAATCGTAAAGAAACTGAATTCCTTGAAGAGCTTCGAACCAATAGAAGAAGCACAGGAAGGGCACTACCCGCAATCATGCAGTTCGTTGTTTTACAAAAAATTATAAATAGCTTATTTACTTTTGTGAAAATTTGAAAATGAGAACAAGTGAAAGGACATTCGTTGATGAGAACCTAAACTGTGCATCACTCCAATGTCGATTGATTTTATGGACGTCACCATCGATGCATACGCCCAGATCATTTGCAGCAGCGCGAAATGAATCAATTCCACGCTCACCGTAGCTGCCAGATACAGCAATTGCATGCACGTAAGTCCACCCTAATGTAAATACCTGGAATTCACTACGATCAAAATGTAACTGTCGTGCGGTGGCCAGTAAAAGGTCATGAGTTCACTTCTAAGTTTTCTGTTACAGTCTACAGGATGACTGAGGAAGTGGTGGTACCTTTTCAGTATCAGGCAAGCAGTTTTCTTGAGCGAAATAGTCAGGTCGAGTAGACCGCAGTCCCTTGCTCTAGCTATAGATTCTTGTAAAAATTCAGTAATCTTCCCTAGTCAATCTTCTCTCGGAGAACTGCAATAAGTATTTCCCCTTCGATTGTTGTAAGCCGATTGGGACAGATGTTTTTGCAAATTTTAGAAGTTTATTTAGTTTGTACGTCAAATGACAAGCCGTTGTTCATTCGCTCATTGGGAAGATGCGGTGACCGAACATGGACCGGAGGGTCTTCAAGTCCGCAGGAATGTTGTTCCACAAGGAGTTAAAAAAGGGTTCTGAACGAGCGAGTGCCAGATTATTTGGGCAGGAAGTACGAGAGCACTAAAACGCATTACAGACATTTTCAATTTACGAAGTAGAAAATAACGGAATGAAAAGAGGGTAGTTACTAAAATACAACTCGGCTCGGCTAGGCCCATGCACGATCTGCGGCCAATTTTTTCGGGTGTCCTTACCCTGCTGTTGCATAGGACGCTCGATGCTGCAGGTGGGGTGGTAGTGGAGGGAGGGG